ATCAGACTGCCGTTCGTCACAAGTTACTAATAAACAAGTTAACTTAATTAACCAAATATAATATAAGTATAATCATTCTTTTGGTATATTGCATAAGTATTTAGTGGAGTAGATCGGAGAACGGATGGAATGTTTGGATTGTTATTCTTATTATAATTATTTCTATTACTCTTTAGAAACTGTCTACTATTGTATTTGCGGAGCGCCCCGCGAAAAGGGTTACTTCTTCGTTTATTTATTAGTTACGTATTATAATTTTTTAGTAGTAGAAAATACTCCCGTCGCTTTCAGTACTAATTATACCATATATTTAGTAAGGGTATAATTTTTTTGTAGATGAGAGTTATATATATATATATATATATATTTTTAAATTCTAAGAGGAGGAGAATATTAGAGAATAAGGATAGTAAAAGTGAAGACTCCAGACCTGGATAATAAATTATTGCCTCTTGTAGAAGTTTAGGCAATATTGGATATTAGAGGTTTAGAAGAATAGTTTGTTAATGTAAGAACGGATATGAGAAAAATTAAGGTTTTTTAAGCGTACGGTTATACTAGTGAGGCATTTTTCATATACTCTTATGTACTTCTACCTAGCTACCGTCGCGGGTACAGTTCATTATCAGCTAGTGGTAGAACTTTAGCTGTAAAATTCATTCTTCTTCTTCTTTTTCTTCCTCCCCTCTCTCTCGTTAAATAATGTATAGTAAAGGAAACTTCCCATATTGTCAAGTTTAGTCCTCTTAGTTCAGTTCGGCTCAGTTTCCTTTCTTTTTAGTTATCTTAGGTATCTCTCTCTCCCTCTTTACAAAAACGCAACGTAAAACGCTCGCTTACCATAGCCGTAAACCACTCATACAATAAACTACAAACCATAAACTACAAATACAAACCAAACCCAATCTTTTACTTTCATTCATTATCACTAAGTTTTAATCCTTTTGCTCATAGGTCCTAAGCCTTATACAACAAATCTAAAAACCCCCTCGCCAGATCCACCACGACGCTCTTATTCGGCAAGCTGCCCGCAACGCCATACAGCGCCGCCGTGTCACCGGAGGTCGCCTTTTGCTTTCCCGTTTTGTTATCGCCACCCATCTTGAGCGCCTCCACCTGCCTCACCCGCTCCTTTTCGCGCTCCTCCTCCACCACGCCCTCGAGATCGCTCGCCAGCTTTTCCCAGTTCTTCGCCACGGGCGCTGTGACGGCTACGTGAATAGCGGGTGGGTTCTGCAAGGCGTTCAGATGCCATCCCCGCACGGACATGCCGTCGGCGATGTCGTAGATGTTGAGGTCGCCGCGGGCTTGGAAGGCGAGGACGGAGACTAGTGGGTTACCGAGGATTTCCAACTCTTGGGCGAGCGTGGGGTGCGAGCGGATATGCTCGGCGAGTTTCTTGGTTGCGCCCACGATTTCTGTGCAAGACTTTAGATACCCTTCCTCGCCGACGGCCATGAGGGAGGCCCAGCACGCAGCGATGAGCGCGCCGGGGCGCGAGCCGGCGATGCCGGGGGAGGCGTAGACGCCGCCTGACCAGGACGGGTCGACGAAGTACTGGTAGGCTCTGAGCTCGGCGGTGCGGTAAAGCACGGTGGAGTTGCCCTTGGGCGCGAACCCGTACTTGTGCGTGTCGCAGGAGATGGAGGTGACGCCCTTGAGGCGGAAGTCGAAGGGTTGGGTGTCGAAGCCGGCTTTGTCGAGGAAGGGAACAAGGAAGGAACCCAGGCAGCAGTCGACGTGCAGGGGGATCTTCTTGCGGAGGGCGAGCTTGGAGAGCGCCGAGATGTCGTCGATGATGCCGTGCGGGAAGTTGGGGGCCGAGCCGACGAGCATGATGGTGTTGCGGTTGATGAGGCGGGCCACGCGCTTGACGTCGACTTGGTACGAGGGCGCAGGGCAGGAGACCAGGTGCAGCTTGATCTTGAAGTATTCGGCTGCTTTGCGGAAGGCCGTGTGGGCGGTTTCGGGGATGATGATCTCGGGCTCGGTGACGCCGCGCTCGTGGTGGGCCTTTTGGCGCGCGCTCAGGATGGCCATCAGGATGGACTCGGTGCCGCCCGAGGTGGACACGCCGGCGGCTCCCGGGGGCGCGTTGAAGAGGGAGAGGACCATGGCGACTACTTCTGCTTCCATCTTGCGCACACCCGGGAAGACGTCCGGGTGGATCGGGTTGGCGACGGTGAACTTGCCGTAGGCTTCGGTTTGGAGTTTGAGGAGCTCGTCCTCGCCGCTGTAGACGGCGCCCGAGACGTAGCCGTCTTCCCACCGCGTGTGGTCCATGGTGGCCAGCGCTTCGAGCTCCTTGCGGACGGCCTCCTCGGTCCAGCCTTCCTTGGGGAGTGAGAGGTAGCGGGTTTGGCCGGCGGGGATCATCTTGGCTTGCATCTTGGTGAGGGCATCGTCGATTTGGGCGCGCACTTTGGTGCGCACACCGGGCAGGCGAAGGAAGTAACCGTAGAGAATGCGGCGGGCATCAGTGAAGAGCTCGAAGAGGGTGCCGAAGAGACCACGGCCTTTGAGCTTCCACAAGGCGCGGCGGGTCCAGCGGAGGAGGAAGAGGAAGAAGACGATGTTGCGGATTCTGTGGTTACATTTTCATTGTTAGTAGGTTGTTGGGTGTAGTCAGAGATATATCGAGTGGATGGGTAGGTAGGCATGGTGTGGTTTCGTGTAAGTCGATGACGGACGGAGCATGCGACTGCGGTAAGACATCCATCCATCCACATGCGATTTGCGATTTCGGTTGGAATGGCTGGCTGAGGTTACAAACCGAACCGCCTTCGTTGCATGAGGGAAACCAAAGATGACGGCCATCGCATCTTCATCGTAGACATTGCTATGCGCAAGAAGGTTAAGAAGAATCCAAAAGCACTCACAAGTCGACATTGAGGTTCACCACCTGCATCGGATTCCTCGGCCTCGATCTCTTGACGCTATCAATGCTCTGCCGGAGGCTGACCGGCATGCGCGAAGTGCCTGGCATCTTTGTGCTGGTCAATGTCAAGCAAGAAGTTGTTGTTGACTTTGACAGACAGGAATACGGGTAATATCAATGTTGTTGAGTCTTGATGTGATGTAGTGACTCGAGGTAGATAATCCGGGAGAACCAGAGAGGTTCTTGAAAGAGAAGAAAGAAAGAGAGAAAGAAGCAAGTGGAATCACAGGTTGGTGGAAACACGGGATATGAGATCACTTATTCATGAAGTGAGGTCGGGTGGCTTGCCGTCCATTCAGTGGACGTGTGTGAGGTGTTTAGTGCTTGCATTAAGAGCCTGACAAACAGTTTGTTTAGCGGCTTGCGGGGGTCCCGCTCCAGTCGCAGGTCATCAAGTCAACCGCAGTCAACCGAGGGTGAGAGGCGCGTGGCAGCCCAGCGTGGCGATTGCAACCATTCATTCAAACCAGCGGACAGCGTCGTCTTGCCCTGGTGATGTTTTCCCCGCTCACATTGTCGTGCTTTGTTCACTGCCGCTCCGTCCGCGGGCCCCGTGTTCGGTTCCAGATTTCGTAACAGAACTTGCTCCGGGGAAGCCGGCATCACTATGTATCATTCCAGATGTTCTGCTATTACCGAGGGGAAACTCGGGAGGAAACTGGAAGCGAGAAAGACCTGAGGGTTGGGGTAGAGAGTGTCAAAAGGGGCCAAGGCTCGAGACATCGAGGTACCTTTTCGACTTTCCCCACCGTTTCCTTGCCGTTATCAGAACAAAGAGACATGGGAAGTCTCGAATACATATCAATGAAATCACAATCACATGCATTCCATGTGAAGGACACACACCACTACTACCACCACTATCGCTACCTACCACCAACGGCCTTGGTTCTGACGTAGCACCTTGATGGTTCCTCTAGTGGTATTAGTAGTAGTAAAACCTTCATTAACATACCTATCTCCATCAAACAATAACCACACCGAAATCGCCATTTTTCTCTTCATCCTTCCATACAGTAAGTAAGTAGGCGAGGTAGGTACGTAGTAGTAAATGTTTGTCCAAACATGACCGCCATTGTTCATTCGTCGCCCTTCCAAAACCCTCCTACTTCCGCCCCTCCCCCGTATTCCTAGGAATTCTAATATTACGTTTACTTCGTTCTTCTCATCTTTTACATATATCCATATCTGTTTAGTAGGTAGGTCTCCCTTCCACACCATTGGAGGGCCGCGTCCTCATTCTGGGAGGAGAGAGGCCTATATGTTGTCCAAATTTTGTGGTAGTAGCAAATAGTAGAAAATTATTCTCCTCAAACGCCGCCCGTCGTCATATTCCAATTGGCATTGTGCTCGGTATAATGAAGGAGCTCCTTCTCTCCAAGTGAGGAACGCTGCTTAGTGTTCCATCCCCTCCCTCCTCCCTGGGTCTGGAGTCCGTGTACTTTGTGAGGTTGTTTGTGTGCAGTAGGTCGTGATGATGGTAGTGCTGGTACTGGTAGATCATGAAGCAAATCCTCCTCCCCTTGTCAAATGCCATGTTGCGAGGAGGCAACCGGCCGTATTCCGGGAGAACAGTCGGACAAACGAGCCGCTCATTGGCCATATATAGCCAACTCGGTTTATTGGCTTTTCCCAGGTTGTATCGATCGCTCAACGAGATTCGTTCGGTTCGGTTCGGAACGTGCGTGTTCATGATATCGAAGCTGAATGTGCCTTCTTGTCGCTTGCTATTCTCCATCCACTCCACGATTTCTGCCTCCGTCTATCCTCTCATGAATTCTGGAACGCAGTCTTCCACTGAGCAAACCTCTGCGACTCGGTTTCACACGTATCCTCGCCAGCCTCGCCGCAAGCGTAGAGGCGCACCACAAGGTCTCCTTCCTTGTAATCCTGACCACCCTTCTCCTTGCTGTACGAGTTCAAGATGCGCTGGGGCACGAGAGCGAGCTTGGCGAGAATGGTAGGGTGCCACTGGACGATGTGTTCCTGTTGTCTCACGTGTTAGCATAACTGTTCCATCCACCCCTGATCCGCAATGCTTCCACGAGAGGTTTGGTCAAACTTACCAGGGCATGCTGCTCCGCCTTTTGGAAGTTGTAGCTCCTGTAGATGGGATCGAACCAAGTCTCGATGAAGAACTTGGCCCATTCCCCATTCTTCACCACAAAGCTGCTCGAAGACAGACCGTCCTTGTCCTGCGTCAAGACGAAATCCACATCGTGTCCCTTGAGGTGGCTGAACGTCTTGATGATGCTGTCGGGCGGCACAACAGGGTGGTCCTTGATCATCAGCTCCTCCAGCCTCGATGGCTTCATGACGTGCTCCTCGATCTTGAGGTTCGGGTTCATGATGAAGGCGTTCTGATCGAGGTACCAGATGTACGCCGCATCGGGGACATGGTCATGGCGTGTCGGACGGCGGGGAGGCTGGCCCACGAGACGGGTGCGCCGCGGAGGTCGTAATCGGAGGACTTGACGAAAAAGGTGCCGTAACCTGCAGTTTGAGTGGTGGTGATGGTGAGCTGAGTGTCCGGATAGTGGTAGAGACAGCGGGAGCATGCATATCTGTCTTCGCGCATGACGCTCCCCTTGTCCCTGGCGCAGATTGGGGCGGCATTCACGTACCATGCTTCTCGGCATATTTTAACCTGTTTTCCTTGACCATGTCCAAGTACCCCTTTCCATACTTGCCCTCGTTGAATACTGTAACTATCACCACCGGCGGGTTGCCCGACGGCTTGTGGTATGCCGGCGGAGCATGTCGCCTACTGCCGCCTCGTTGGAATAGCCATACCAATGTCAAGAAGGCTAGGCAGACAAGGCCAATGGTCTTGAGTCGTCGGCTTCGTATTGTTGGGATAGCCGACGTCCGGGGCCGGAAAGGCGGCGGATTCGAGGATTTTCGTGGAGGATATGCGAAATGCATCGCGGGCAGCGTAGGTATGCGATGGGGAAACAGACGAGTCCAGACCCTGAGACTAATTGTATCGTAGTGCGCGCGGCGCGGCTTCGTCTCGCTGCTTCGGCAAAATATTCCACCCTCGAAGGGGCAGGGGGAAATAGGGCGGTTTGGCGGGCGGTGGGAAGAGCCGAGCAAAGTGGAAGCTTCCGTCTGTAAGAAAGAGGAGTAGGGGAAGCCAAAAAAAGATCGACGCCGAATAAGGTGAAACTAGGGGTTCGGCCGTTCGTGATGCGCGCGCGCCTGTTCGCGACGGGTCCAACAAAGCTGATTGGAACTAGTCAACCAGACAGAATTATGCCTTTTGGCTCAAGAAGCTTCCCACTATGTCTAGGTTGAGGTTTGGTTGTCGATGGTCGTCTAATACGGGATGGCGACAATGGTGCCTCTGGGAGGATGAATCTGAAGTATATCGAATCGTGGTCGCAAATCGACTGGTAGACTCTTTTTTGTCTGATAACTTGGGCCACCTCGCTAACACGGACGGGAGGGAACCAGGTCGGCGTGATAGTGTGTACTGGTATGGTCGCGGCTTTTTGGTAGCACGTATCGTTATCAGGCTTCAAACATGGACATTTGGCGAGATTGGCTAGCAGCTTTGTGCCCGAACACAATTCTTCCACTATGCTCGACGCTGCACAAGACGGGAAATAAGAGACTCGACGGGTGGAGGTGGTTATTTATTGAAAAGCCCCCCTTCGAGATTGGGAGATCTGGACTTGACTCGAATGCTGCCTTTTGTCGCAAGTTCATTCAGTTCGGGCAAGTTGAATGAAACAATGCAGGGACGATTACCTCCAAATTACGACCGGCCTGAAGAGGACCGTTGCCAGGTGTCATCACTGTAAATGTTGGCTTGGAGGTGCTGGATGCATCGATAAGGGTCCTCAAGCCCCACTCGTGCACCATTCAGGGGCTTTATCGCTTTGGAATTGGGTCCAGCCCAGTCCAACAAGGTGCTCACTCCTACGAACTGCATGTCGGCTCTCGGTCTCGTAGAGGTAAGCCGCTGATGACCTCACATTAAGCACCTCGGGAATTCTCATCGTAAAGTGATTCATTTACAACTAACACTAATCGCTGAGCAATATCTGCTTTTTTCTTGAACGCTTCGATAAGGTAGTAGGGGCTCTTCCGGTCACCCTCTTCAAACAACCCCCAGGTATCTCAATGGCATGTTCCAATCTCGAAAGACAGCAAACTCCCTTCTCCCATCCGTCCGACGGCATAGTGCACACCCGAAGGCATGCGCCCAAAGACATGTCTGCCCAAGAGCAAGTGGATATCCACCCAAAGGCGTGAGGAGTAGCGAAAGATGGAAAGAGCTCCAAAGAACTCAGTCCAGTAAGGCTCGGATTGGCGCTCCATGCCAGTCCCAAACGAGAAGAGAACAAGACGCCCTCTCCTCAGGGCGACAATAGAGCTCGATCTTTGCACACAGACTAGTTGCCACGACATGGAGGCAGGAGCCAGTGGCAACTTAAGAGTGTGCAAACGGTTTTCGGGGTGGGGGGAGGCCATGGCGACAACCAAAGTGGCGTTGTAGGCGGAATGGACGTGCAGTGAACAAAAGCAGCTCGATTTCGATACTCGTTTACCTGTCTTTCCTCGACTCGTCGTCGTCCTCGTCATCAGCAACTTCATCCTCTTGGATGTCAACAACTCTGTCGCGGGCCTTTTCAAGGACTCTTGCGCTGAAGTGACGGACGAACTTCCATGCTGCCTGTTTCTCCTGTTAGCAGCTGATTCGGTATCTTCTCGGAACAGCAAAACTTACACCAAGGAATGTCAGGACGCCAATCATCACAAGCGCCCAATTGACTGACTCAATCCTGTCTCTGCCCCTGCGACGACCACCTACTGTACTGCGGATGTTGAACCACTGCCAAGGAGACATGGCAATGAAAGTCTTTAGGAACCCAAGCAAGCCAAGCGAGAGGAATCCCTTGAGAAAGTGGAAGGACCAAGTCGCCGGTTCATCGTCAGCCGGGCGCATAGCCTCGACATCTGATATGACATCATGAATCGTATCAACCACGCTTCCGAAGGGGTCGACCCAAAGGTTGATGATGGGGTCGGCGAAAAAGCCCAACACGAAGACGGCGAAGATGAACACCAAGCCAGTAAGGACCACACTTCCCATCGTACTCGTCAACCAGCGTCCCCATCTCAGTCTCTCGAGGCGGTACTCGAATTTGCAGGTGGGACACTGCCAAAAGTTCCGGTCAGACAAAGGCGACGCTTGCCTCCATTGCTGAAGGCACCCTTCGTGGACATATTTCTGGGTGCCTTTGCATCGGCAAGGGCTGATCAGACGGCCCAGCTCCGGATCTTCGGAATAGTATCGAACGCGTGCTCTCGAGGTGAAGCGGGCAGCGAATGACTCGTCAATCTCGGTGGTGGGCTGGACGGCTTCCAAGCAGATGCGACAAGTGCGGGGTTTGTAGGTTCGTTGTCTTTGCTGCTGCTGAGAGCTCGGCTTTGCTGCAGATGAAGTGGATGATGAGCTGTGTGGTGTCTCGTGGGTTGGTGAGGCTTGCGCGCTGCCGTTTGCATTGCCGTTGGGGCCTGCGCCCGAAGGCCACGACCAATTTGATGATCCAAAGTCCATATTTTCCTTGCGAGGCTAATGATGGTTCTGGGTGCTGCAACCGATAAAACTGTGAATTCAAAGGGTGATGAAAGGGCAGAGGGGTAGGGGGAGATGGGGGATCCAGATTGGTAAATAGCGAGAAGTCCAAAGAACATCTCGGAAATGGTGAAGCAGCAATGTGGTCAATTCTCTTGCCAATTGAATCTCGACCACTCGCTCTTAACCCCAGTGCTGCTCCGAGGCTCGAGCTGGGCACACTGCCCACCGAAGAAGAGTGGACATCATCATTTCGTAACTTACCTCAAACGGCTTCTATCGCATCTTTAATCGCTGCCACCGTCGTGGAACAACTTGCGACTGTTCAGCCAACCTAAGCGCGCATGTCGCCATGATGCATCTCGAACAGAAGAGGTAGAAGAAAAGAATGCGAAAAATCTCTGATGGGGCTGCAAAATGTTAAGAGCAAAAGAAACACTGGGGGGTTCTCGACCTTTCCCCTTTGAGACTAGCCACTATCAATGACAGTGTGGGGTACCAAAGCTCCCGCTCTCCCAGTCGCCGTTGCCTGCCAGCAGCAACAGCACAGTAGCGAAGTGCCTGCCTTGGGGCTCAGTTGGTCCGAGCTCCTTCAGGCTGAAGATGAGCTCTCCAGTTGCTGGCAGTGGTCCAGCTCCAGTTCGACGCGCAACTTCCCCGTGCCTGGGCCTTGAACAGTGACAGCCTGTGGTGGGAACTCTGGAACCTCAAGCTTGCAGCCAAACGACAACAGCTCTCTCTTCTAGCCTGCCACTCCTCGACAACCAAAACATCAAACGCTGCAGTCTAAAGACCCGAATCCCGTCGCAAATACACCCGTCCAAGTACTTTTCGAAATACCCGGGAATAAAAGGACAACATGGCGGACAGATACTCCTTCTCCCTTACCACTTTCTCGCCCAGGTAAGCTCCCGTCGTCATAGTCGCTGTCTGATGCAGTGGTGATAGTGATAGCTGCTAACACTTGCGTAGCGGCAAGCTGGTCCAGATCGGTCAGTCGCCTCAACCCAACCCCGACCTCATCTTCCATCTAGCGAACTTCACAATCTTGCGCCAATACGATCTCGACATAACCATGCTGACTATTTCTCAGAATATGCCCTTAATGCTGTCAACCAGGGTGTAACAGCTCTCGGTATCAAGGGTAAGCAAAACTCCCCCTCCCCCACCACATGCCATCACCACCATCATCGTCACCACCACCACCCGTCACTCGCCTCTACCATTACGGCCCATATACATTGCCGCGCAAATATGAGTTTAGAATGCTAACTCTCCACAACAGCCACCAACGGCATCGTCCTCGCCACCGAAAAGAAGTCCTCCTCCCCGCTCGCCGACCCCTCCTCCCTCTCCAAGATCAGCCTCATCACGCCCAACATCGGCATGGTCTACAGCGGCATGGGCCCCGACTACCGCGTGCTGGTCGATCGCGCGCGCAAGGTTTCGCACACGGGCTACAAGCGCATCTACAACGAGTACCCGCCCACGCGGATATTGGTGCAGGACGTTGCGCGCGTCATGCAAGAGGCGACCCAGTCCGGAGGTGTCCGCCCGTACGGCGTTTCCTTGTTGATTGCCGGCTGGGACGAGGGTATCCTGCCCGAAGACGACATTCAGGAGCAAAAGAGCAAGGATGAGATCGTGGGCGACGATGGTGAGACCATGAAGAAGGCGACGGGCAAGACGGGCGGCATCCTCAAGGGCGGTCCCATGCTGTACCAGGTCGATCCCTCGGGATCTTATTTCCCCTGGAAGGCGACGGCGATTGGCAAAAACGCCACGACGGCCAAGACTTTCTTGGAGAAGAGGTATACCGAGGGCTTGGAGCTCGAGGATGCGGTGCACATTGCGCTGTTGACGCTGAAGGAGACGATCGAGGGAGAGATGAACGGTGACACCATTGAGATTGGTATGTTATACGATGGATAGGGACACAGTTGCTCAATTGACTGTGATCTGACTAACATGTGTTTACTACAGGCATCGTCGGACCACCGGCGGACCACCTCCTTGGCGTCGAGGGTGTCGAGGGAGCAAAGGGTCCCCGCTTCAGGAAACTCTCTCCCCAGGAGATTGAGGATTACCTGACGAACCTATGATGATGGCAAGGCAGGGAAAGAGAACGCAGGGGGCAGGCAAATAGGCACATGAGCGTATTTTAATGAATGACCATTACAGCAAGTTCCTTGTACAATAGAAAGGAAGACCCGGGAATAGAGAGCCCTTTCATGAGTAGACGGTTTGGAACTATTTGGTGAGTAAAGCCTCGCGTTTCCATCATGACTTGAGAAACCAGGTACAGCTTTGTGTATGGAATACGAGATCAATCAAAATTGGTATCGTTTGTTCAAAGAAAAAGAACTACATACGCTCTTCCAGCTAAGTAAGTGAAGCCAGTTACAATTAAGCCAACAAACACCAACGCTTGGTTTTCCATAACAGAACTCATCACCAGACAGACAGACACACCCGTTACTTCTTGTCCTCACCAACAATCAAGAAACTCGTCCACGGCCCTGCCGCAACCGACTTGACAACCTTCCCATCCAGCGACAAAGGCACCTTCTCCCACTTCATAACGCACTCAATCTCCTCTCCCAGCCCCAGCTGGCCACACCAGTTCTCCCCAATCACATACACCTCCCCCTGGTCCGTCAGCGCAATCATGTGATTCGTGCCTATAGCTACGTCCACGATACCGTCCACCTCGTTCCCCTTGGTGTCGGTGATCACCACTGGGATCGGACCGTCTTGGTCGTTCAAGTTGTTGTCGCAGCTGTCGTGTTCGAAGAAGAGGGTTTGGAGAGAAGCGGGTAAACGCCTGGGATCGCCCCAGACGTAGAGGTCGTTGCCGGCTGTCAGGCAGGCGAGCATGGAGGAGGTGTGGCCGATGGAGAGGTGCCGGATGGGACCGGTGGGGAGGTTGGAGAGGAGGGGGACGGGGAGGGGGTAGTAGGCTGGACTATGTTTGTTGGGGTTGGTTCGTCAGTAGGAAGGAAGGAAAGAAAGAAGGGAAAGCGGATGATGAAAACGGGGACGGGGATGGAGATGGAAATGGAGATGGAAATGGAGATGGAAATGAATAGAAATGGAGATGGAAATGAATATGAGGATGGGGATGCAGATGAAGATGGGGATGGGGACGAAGGTAAACATCAAGATGAAGCCTAAAAGGGATGGACACACCACTCATCAGTAACCTCCCTCCCCAAGCATCCTTCATATCTCTCATCGCCCCACGTGTACACCTCCCCCGTCGAAGAGAGGGCCGCGAACCCGGTCGAGTGAGCCAGCAGCTGGACGATGTCGGGAAACCCGGTGTAAGAGACCTTGTTGGGCTCGGTTGGCCGAGGAACCATATCTGAGGGTGATCGATAGCCAACAGAGTTACAGGCGAATTGTTCTTTTGGCGAATGCGTATGGCTTGGATCTTCGTTTGCTGCTTCCAGTTCCTCGTCTTCCCATACGTCATGCTTGTCTTTGTACTGGAACCCTAGGTCCAGGAGGAGGTCACTGAAGGTGGCGTATTCGTTGATTGTAGCTGTTTCGGCGTTGTAGACTGTTGATTTGTCTTGTTCAGTATTTAATCGCGACACCTGGTTATCTGGAGTCGAATCCCGACATGGAACTGGGTTGGCAGGAAAGGGTGATTAATGACTTACCTGCCACACGTCCGTTGTTTGCTTGGGCGAAGGTTCTGTAGATGTTCTCATCCACGTAACGTAAGGCATTGTGATGTCGGGGGACCCGACCTGCTTTTTTGATAAACTTGTTTTGCCTCTTTTGGTAGACTAGACGGAGTTCATATATGGTTTGGTTAGTTGGGTGAAATCCACGATACATAGAACTTGTACATGTGTAAGTGCCCATAAACATCTTGAAGCGAGCAAAGGTTGCGAACACTACTAAGTGGTCACTGACGGATATGTGGCTCACTTACCAAGAGTGTGGGATGCAAAGCTCCGAACAGTATGAATGTCCCTGTGACGAAACACGCAAGTGAAATCCCAAATATCGTCATCGTCGCCGTTCCATCCGCATTTGCCTTCGCCTTTTTGTTTTTCAAAATGAAGCTGCCAATGTTGGTTGGCTCCAGCTGCGTACAGCTCCATTGTTCCTGGTTGTTTCATAACGGGGCAAAACGGCACAAGTAAAGCTACTCGAGTAGTACAATGTGCTGTAGCAGTGTAGTTTTACGTCCAAAGGTCGGAGTGAGTATTAAGATGTTGGCGAATGAAAGAAAATCGAGTCCGCAAATGGGTTGAGTGGTGGTTGAGATGATGGAAGAGGCCCAAATTCTGTGGTGTTTAAGGTACCCCTAAAATCCCCCCCGCGTGCTTGACGCTTCGGAACCTCAAGGGAGGAGGATGTAGCCACATGTTCGTTCCTGTCTTTTGCAAGAGAAATTTTGTTCATATCGGAGGAAAGAGAATTTGGGGACATGCGTGACTCCTCTGGCTGGTGCAATGTATCAAATCAATATTACCCCCGATGTTGAGGTGGTTCTTGCCGTTATCATGGAAACCATCTGATTCGTCGTGGATCGCGAATGGAAGCAGCTGCCTGCGGCGTTCGTTTTCAGAGGCAGTGTTAAGAAAACAGCTGTCACTACACTTATTCCACTAACATTTTGTTGGGCTCCAAGTTTCAACACCCCTGCTTTCTGCTGGAGATTTCTTGCCATTCATTCGTTTGCACACTGCCTATAGTGTCACATACGACACTTTAAAAGATTTTACTCTACTTCAAGTCGACCGTGGTACGACAGGACTTCAACATACTACTCAACTCTGGCCTTGGAAGACGGCGTCCAGCCTCATGCATGAGAAACGGGTTGAAGTCGATTTTTGCTGGCACGCCCGCACCCACCGTGACACATGAAGTGAGAGGCCCAACTCAGACGGGAACATGTCCACCTTCCAGATATCTCGAGCCCAACTCAACCTTCAGCTTCCTCTCCGCTCTAGACTCGTTCCCTCCCTAGGCGGTCTGAATCCCCGAGTCTCGCAGGGCTATAGTTGAAGGTGGCTGGCCTGTAAGGGCCGATTCGAGTTTTCTTCTAGAGGTGCTCTTCATCCTCTATTGACACCAGCATCAACATCCTTCGTGTCGACATCTTCATCCTCGTCGCCCTTTGTCTCTCAAGACCGCCACATATTACATACATATCCACTTCATCGTTATACCTATCATTCCTTCCCCAGCGTACCCCGAGTCTCTAACCGGAACTTCCATTCCTGCTCTTACGCCTACAGCAAAACCGTCGATTCATCAGCCGCCATGGATCTGGATCCTCAGGAAGATAACCCGGTCGAGATGAATGTCGATCGCGATGGCAACTCCCACGACTCAGACAACGAGTCGTTCAAGAGTGCCATTGACGAACCCTTTGACTTGAGGGAGCTCTACCAAGATGCCCTGGAGGAGCCGTCTGAAGAACTCAGCGATCAAGTGTCAAGCCCCGCTGCCTTGACCGCAAGGGCGTACCAACTCGAAATGTTCGAAGCAAGCCTCAGGCAGAACATCATCGTCGCTGTATGATGTACCCCCTTCTTTGTCATATCACTGACCTCTCCTGGCCCTTTTCTAACAGAATGGCTGGTTACAGATGGACACTGGCAGTGGCAAGACTCAGGTGTAAGTGGACAGGGTCTCACTACGAGATAGGGTATTTTTGCTAACAGGTTATAAGCGCTGTACTTCGCATAGCCAGAGAGCTCGAACAAAGTGACAAGGTTTGTTAACACCCTTCCTGTGTGCTGTCCTTCTGACCAGATCCTGACATGTCTTTTTCTAGCGAATCTGGTTCCTAGTGCCAACGGTCGCCCTGGCCCACCAACAACATCAAGTTTTGCAGTCTCAAATACCATCAGTCAAGACCCTATTGATCTGTGGCCATGATGGGGTGGACAGCTGGTCTGACCAGGCTGTTTGGGATGCCATCCTGCTCAACGTTCGTATCGTGGTGTCGACGTACCAGATTTTGTCCGATGCAAATGCTCACGGCTTCGTCCGCTTGGATTCGCTGAGCTTAATTGTCATTGACGAAGCACACAATTGCTCCAAGAGCCATCCAATTTCCAGAATGATGACCGAGGCTTACCTGCCTGCAAAGAGGGCCGGTCTACCAGTCCCTAGTATCCTCGGTCTCACGGCAAGCCCGCTGATGTCAAACAACCTCGACGACATTGAAAAGCTTGAACAAGTTCTTGATGCTGTTTGTAGAACTCCTACAAAACATCGAGAAGAGCTTCTTGAACACGTGAACCGCCCGGAGATGCTCGTGTTTCCATACGGCGATTCTGGGGGCCCTGTTACCGAGCCAGCACCAACCGATCTCATGATAAGATTCAGAGAAGCATATCACGGACTTGATATACGCAAGGACCCAGAAGTCTTGCTCCTCAAAGCACAACGCACTGAACGGGCTAGGCAAAAGCTTCGCCACGCTGTTACAAAGAAGGACACGACCGCCCAGAAAGAAATGAAGGGGGTATACAACAGGTCCATCCTCGTGCACAAGGAAGTTGGGCCATGGGCGGCAGACTATTACCTTACGAGAGCCATTTCCCAAATGTTGGCCGAACTGGAGCATGAGCATTCGGATCACTTCCGGTACATCGGCGAGGCATTACGATCCATTCCTATTCCCACCGTTTCAAAAGAGCCCATTCAGCTGTCCTCGAAAGTTCAGACTTTGCTGCGAATTCTCTCTTCGCATCAGGAGGATCCGGTCGGTATTGTTTTCGTCCAGGAGAGGGTAATGGTCAGCATTGTGACGCATATCATATCCACCCATCCGCTAACCAAGGACCGTTACCGCACTGCTGCCATGATTGGCACTGCTAACGTACCAGGACGGAAGCAACATTTCAAGGACATGACAAATGCGGGGGATAACAAGTCCCTCGAGGGATTTCGCGAAGGTCGGTTTAATTTGCTCGTTGCGACCAACGTCCTTGAGGAGGGTATTGACGTTCCCATCTGCAACCTCGTCATATGCTTTGATAAACCATCAAATATCAAATCTTTCATCCAGCGTCGCGGAAGGGCAAGAAAGGGTAGCTCTACACTCTACCTCATGGTCCAGGATGCTTCTGGCGAATCCGCGACCGGCTGGCGTGATCTGGAACGTCTGATGAAAGAGAAATACGAGGACGAGATGCGTGAAACCGCAGAACTCGAGCTGGTAGAGGATCCGAGACTTGGCAGTTATCCAGTTCTGGAAGTCGAGAGTACTGGAGCTCGCATTACTATCAGAGATGTCAGATCTCATCTCAACCATTTTTTGCGCAAAGGTCTCGTCAAGGTCTCGACATCTCCAGAACGAACCGTACTTCGTCATTCGCAAAGTCGATCCGGACCCAGCATCACACGAGCGACGGACATTGCTTAAGGCAACTGTGCATTTGCCAGCATCTGTTGCCCCTGACTTGCGTCGCCACCATAGTCTTTGGACTTGGACGTCGGAGAAGCTTGCAATTATGGATGCCTCATTTCAGGCATACAAAGCTCTCTACCATGCCGGATTAGTCAATGATCATTTGCTGCCTACAAAAGCATCTGATTTCCTTGCCGACCTTGGTAGCGATCCAGGTCATATTTGGGTCAGAACACAATTGGACCCTTGGCCAGAGGTAGCTCATGCCTGGCAAGAGGGCTCATTCCTTTACAGTCGTCGCCTGACAATTCGGGTTCCAGGGATGGAAACACCCCTCGAATTCGCGTTCATCCTTCCTGTGCCAGTTCCTTACATGGCGCCTCTGAAGCTGTGGTGGAATGCCACTTCTGCTTTGGAGCTCATCACCGATTCAGAGATGCAGGAATTTTGCAAAGAAGGAGTAGCCAGAGCCGGGCCAGACCATTCCTATGCTTTGCTCGCCATGGCTTTCCAACATCGATTCCCTCTCGAGGGCAAGCAGTATCCGATTCGCCTTGTATCAACTCAAAGGAAACTTGATGTCGCCGGAATTGCAGCTCTAGAGTTTGACCCTCAACTGTACGAAAGCTTCACTGACCCTCCCCTTGTGCGACTTGTTGAAGGGACGCCTTTCTTCGTCACGAAGGTCTTGCCGTCCAAGCCACCGGCCGAGCTCGTATTGAAGCCAAGCAAAGAGCATGCAGACCTTCCAGAGGACGTTCCATATGTGGTTTACAAATCTCTAAGCAAAGCTGTTGGTCAGTTTCTTCCACCTGAAGCAGCTCATGAACATGACAATTGGATTCCTAAGGATGGAAAGCTGTACCAAAAGGTCCTGCCTTCCACAAGTATTCGGATGGATGACTTCCCGGCCGCGTTCGCCCAGGTGGGCGCGGTCATGCCAGCTTTTACAAGGGCAGTGGAGATGAGTCTAGTAGCCGCGGACCTCATGTACAATCGTCTGGGTTGTCTGGAACTTGATAACTTGCTTCTCGTTACAACCGCACTCACTAGCATTGGGTCACGAGCCCCGACCAACTACGAAAGACTGGAGTTTCTGGGCGATACGATCTTGAAGTTTTGCGCTTGTCTCACAGCTTCGGCATTATGTAAGTTCTCCCTACAAAGACCTCTTACGGCAATTGCTCACCATAAAATAGTTCCAAACCACCATGAAAGGTTGCTCTCCCAATGGAAGGATAGTCTCGTGAACAATGTGCGACTCTGTCGAGCATCTATCGACTTTGGCCTTGACGAGTACATCATCCACTCAATGGCCTCGAAGAAGTGGCGGCCTAAGTTTGTCGAGAATTATCTGGATGACAGCAAGTCCCCTAAGTCGGCAGAAACCCGTGAAATGAGCTCCAAGATGGTAGCCGATGTTATCGAGTCCCTCATCGGCGCCACATACATGTGCGGGGATATGTCAAAGGCACTCGAGTGTATCGCCCTCCTTCTCCCCACTTCCAAGTCCAGCAAGTTCAAGTGGCAGGACATTGGTCTTAGCCGTGACAAGCTTTTCGAGCTTGCTCCCAATGATGCCGTCCTCCACAAGCAATTGGAGCCTCTGGAGAAGGCCATGGGCTACGCTTTTACCAAAAAGTCACTCCTCATCGAGGCCATGACGCACCCGTCCTGCCCGGGCCTCGGTGACAACGACTCCTGCTACGAACGCCTCGAGTTCCTCGGCGATGCTATTCTCGACGTCATCGTCGTCAAACGTCTCATGGCTGAGACGGGCCCCAACGAGCTTGCGCACAACGACATGCACGAGTACCTCTCCTCCGTCGTCACCGCCGACATCATGGCTTTCCTGGCCATGGAATGGGTCATCGCCAGGACAGACACCGTCGAGATCGACCCTGCGAGGCTGGACGCCATCGACTCCCTTCCCTTCTCCAAGCACACCAAGATCACCCCTGCGAACCTGGTCTCCAACACGGAGGACTGGGCCTTTTGGCGGTTCATGCGCCACAACTCCTCGCACGTCGCATCCGCCCAGACCGTCACCCAAGAACGCTACCTCACCCTCAGAGACGACATCCGCACCGCGATATGGGAGAAGCACGAGCTGCCGTGGGCCTTGCTGGCGCGCATGGGCCCCCAGAAGTTCTACTCGGACATCGTCGAGTCGCTCGTCGGCGCCGTGTGGGTCGACTCCGGCTCGTGGGAGGTGTGCGAGCACGTGCTGAACCAGATGGGCCTCTTGCCTCTGCTCGACCACTTAATCAGGACGAAAGCGCATGTGATGCATCCCAATGTCGAGCTGCATATCCTGGCGCCGCCGAGCAAGCGGGAAACGCGCACCGAGTTTGTTATTATCTCCAACAAGCGGGGCATCATCAGCCACGGGACCGAGTTTGCGGATGAGACGAACGCCGTTGATGACGGGCTTGTGAAGGTAGAGCCATATCATGATGATGACGTGCCGACGCAGGGCGAGGTGTTTTCTTGTAAACTTTTTGTGGGAGGCAAGCAGGTGGCTGATGTGACGGGTGCGGGAACGAAGGAGGAGGCCAGAGTGCGGGCGGCGGAGAAGGGGTGTTTGGTGATTAAGGCGGAGAGAAGGAAGGCAATGGCTGAAAATAAGGCTGTGGATGGTGCTGCTGTTGCGGACAACGAAGGTTCCAGTCAAGATGCGGATGGGGATACGGTCATGGACTAGAAGAGTCAGGAGACGGTCCCTATCAGGATCGCGGACAGGGACACTACTACGGATGAGCACATGACCTTGGCTCAGCGTTTGTTGGCAATTTTTTGGTTAGGTTAAGCCTTTCTTCACCGGATATATCTATATTTTGGGTATATCTGTAGTGTTTTTTCTTCTCGTCAAATGTTGACGTTGTTGGATAGCGGGTACCTGGGCGATAGAAAGACAGACACCTTGCTTTTTTGGAATGTGCAGAAGCAGTTTCATATGGTCTTTGTAGCGGTTCGTTCATAGCTGGTAATCAGAGCATGTATGTCACTTAAAAAGCTCGAGAGAAAGAAGGACTCGGATTAGACAAATAAACCGTATTTTCTATATACATAGCTCGACTCGATTCTTGCAAAGATACTGACATGTTATTACGTACCTACTAACTTTCCATCACACGATACAGCAACGGAGCTTAAGAGGTCGAAGTCATGGCAAATGCCTCTCTAGAATGATCCGTTTCCCTCCCATAACATACATGACCAAGGTACCTAGCACAATGAGAAATAATCATTGCCAAATAAATAGACACACTACCACGCTCGGCTCCTTTAATTTAACTACCTTATACCATATCATACTTAGACACATCACAGATCCCAGATTCCCACACAAGGACTCTACTCACTTCTTCTTAGCAGGCCTTCCCCTCCCCTTAGCCGCAGGCTTGGCAACCACCACCTCGTCGTCGTCCTCATCATCATCCTCCACATCTTTCTTCGCCTTCTTCTTGCTCGCTGCAGCCTTCTTCGCAGCAGGCGCCTTCTTCGCCTTTGGCTGCTTGATGTACTTATCCTTGGTGATATCCACATCATCGTCTTCGTCAACTTGGGCGGCATCGTCAGCGATGGCGGCGTCTCCCTCGTCGTCTTCCTCGATGGCCTCTTCCAAGTCGGGAACGTCCTTGGCGATCATCTTGGGGGCGAGGATGCTGCTGGCTTTGATGAAGGGAACGGGGTGGGAAGCGGCGTTGTAACTGTTTTGGGACAAGTTAGTTGGGGAAAAGGGGGGGGGGGGGGGGGGGGGGGGGGCCAAAAAAAAAGACTCACAGCCTCGTAAAAGCAGCCTTGGTCTGCGTCTCAATGTTGACGTTTTCCTCCGCCTGATCACCCAATCCCAACTCCTTGATCGAGTCAAAGTCCTCTCTCGTCAGGTAATAGCTATCCATCAGATCGATGACTTCCGGCACGCAATCCTTGCCCTCAACTTCGAGGCGCTTGACCGTCTTGTCCCACAGAACAGGCATGTACTGCTGGCGAATCTCGTGGGCGTCGCCCGAGGACTTGAGGCGCATGTGGGCGTGGATCTCACGGTTGAAGCGGCTGAGCTTGCCGTACTTGCTGTTGTTGCCAAGCCAAGAAGTGAACTGGGCCTGTCCGCCGAATTGGCCGGCGATGAGACTGGAGGGGCGGACGGTACTGAAGACGGCGTGCGTGGGCATCAAGCTCCATTGTTGCTGGGGACCGTGGATCATGCGGTCGACTAGGTCGCCGTCGCTGATGCTTTCAGCTGCTTGGTCGACAAGTTCGAGCCACTTGAGGTTCTGTTCCCTTGGAGTATAGCCCTTTTGGTTCAAAGCCATGGGCCTCGAACGGAGGTAGTTCTCCTGGATCATGAGGTAGGAGAACTCGTGATCGTTGAAGTAGAGCTCAATTTTGTCATTCAGGGTTGCCGTGCTGGAAGGGGCGAACATGCCGCCGCCGATCAGCTTCTGGCAAATATCCCAAGGCTTAAGGATGACATGCTTTTCCCAGGCCTTGCTCATCTGCTTGCTTTGATCGAAGTCCATGGTAGACTGATCCAATTTCGCCGTCGAGATCATGTTGATGATCTGGCGAATGTCCTTACCGCTGCCTTCGATAAGGGCATTAACAACGGGTGGTGGGATCTTAAGCCCTTCTCTGTGGCAGATGGTCATGATGCGGGAACGAATCTGGTCGACCGTGGGACGTTGGAATTTGATATCAAAGGCGACATGATCGAAAGGCTTCATCTTTGGCAATCTGCGCTCGTTGCAAATTAAGATGAGAGGCACCTCAGTCTTCCTGCAGAACTTGGCAAGCGCACCAACACCGCCACGATCACCAGCAGACATACCGTCGACCTCGTCCATGATAAGGACAATCTTCTTCTTGCCAGCATCAACCTGCTTGCCATCTCCAGCAAAGAAACCTAGAAGAGACGTGTTGGTCATGACATCGCTGACACCGTTCTCGACAAGCTTCTTGCTGCGAGTGTCACTGGCGTTGCTCTCGATCACATCGTAGCCTTCCAGCTTAGCAGCAAGATGTGCTGCAGTCGTCTTGCCGATACCAGGAGGACCAGAAATGATGATCGCACGGGATCCGCCCGAACCATCGGCACCTCTCTTCTGGAAGTCATACTTTCTCGCCTTAGGCCAGTTCCTGAGCCAATTTTGAATCTTTTCCACGTTGGCCTTGTTGCCGCAGATCTGGTTCAGCGCCGTCGGAGCATACTTTGTTGTCCAGAGTTGGGACAACTGTTTGGGCGGAGCAGGGGCGGGACGGGAAACACCGCGGGCGGCAGCAGCCTTCTTGGCCTCCTTCTCAGCTTCCAGTCTCCGAGCCTTCTCTTCGCGATCCAATTTCTCGGCTTCCTCACGGATCTTCTTCTCTTCCTCCTCCCGCTTCTGCTTGGCCTTTTCAGCCCCCTTTCCGGTACCACCACCAGCGGGCATAGTCCTGATAAGGTAGAACAGGCCTTCCTCGTCGATGGTCTTAATACCATGCTCTTTAATCTTCCGCAGCTTGCTTGGTCCTGCATCGTCACCGAGAACGACAAAATCGGTTTTGCTAGACGGCGCTCCTGTTACCTTGCCACCATAGCGCTTGACGAGTGCTTGGGCATCCTCACGCGCGATGGTCTTGAGTAGTCCGGTGAACACGAATGTCTTGCCCGCAAGACAGTCAATCTCACCTTCAGGAATCTCAGCAGTGCCTGCCATGGGGGGTGCACCCACATTTCCACCTCCTGCAGCCTTGCTCTTCCAGTCGAACTTGAAGTTTTCATCCTTAGGAGGAGCATCTGGCGCTTCGATTGTCGGTATGTTGTCGAGGATCTTCTTGACCTCTTCGGGCTCTTCGGGCCCCGCATCCTTCTTTGCCCTTGGGGCACGGGGTTTAGCGGCCTTCTTCGCTGGTTTGACTTCTTCCACCTCTTCGTCTTCCTCGTCACTTATAACAACCGGTGATTTCCGCTTCGCTGCCGTAGCAGTTGTGGTCTTCTTGGTCGCTTTGCTGGGTGCTGGCTTCAGGTCTTCGTTGTTGGATTCAGCTGCTACTGTCTTTTTGGCGCGGGATGCAATACGCTTGGGCTTGGGGAGAAGCTCCTCGTCGCTGTCCTCCTCAGCATAGTCATCGTCCTTTTTCCTCTTGTTGCCGCCCTTGACTTCAGCCGCAAAGATATCGTCGCCAGCATCGTCGTCGTTGTCGTCCATATAGGCATCGCCGTCTTCATCTCTGTCGTACTTCTTGTAGGCCGTCGTGGGTTTCTTTGTGGTCGAGGTCTTTGTAGTCTTGGGAGGTTCTGGTGCTTTGGCAGCTGGGGTGGCCTTCTTCCGGGGGCTTGTTCGAAGCGCAACTTTGGGTTCTTCTGGCTCGGGCTTTGCTGGTGTCTTTTTCGGCGTTGACTGGGAAGCAGTAGCTGTCTTCGTTTTCGAGGTTGCAAAGTACTTGGCAGCATCGGTTTCGACTCCTTTTACGGGTTCTCTAGAGACTCTGTCAGCTGGAGTAACATAGAATGTATCCGGCAAGTATGTCATGGAATACTCACACTACTTTCTTCTTTGGTGCGGCCTTGGTTGGCTTCTTGACCCTATAAATGCTGGTTAGATGCTCGTTCTAAGCATGGATGGTTTTTATTTGCGCTCACTCGACAACCTCGTCATCTTCGCTATCCTCGACAACCATCTTTCTCGGTCCTGCGACGAGTCTGTTAGCGTGGCGATAGGCACGTGATGGTGGTCATAGTTCAAGCTTACTGCCCCGGGTCTTCTTCTCTTCTTCCTTCTTGGGTGCTGGCGTTGCAGGCTTAGCAGGCGGCGCGCCACCTTTCGGGCCAAAAAACGAGCGAATGTCGGCAGGCATGGTGCTACTTGGTGAAGAGAAGCAGTAAAGGCCAAAATGGAGATGGAATACGTCAAAAAGTTGGGAAGATGCAGCAATCAGATGATAGCAATGGGCATCTTATAGCACAGCAGACTGGTAATGGACTGGGGGAGTGAGACGGGAAGTTGAAAGGTTTTTGGTGTGTAGTGTAAGTTGTCCAAGGCAGCTGTCCTTCTGCCTAGCAATTATCGTTGAATCAAAGGCCTCCTTCAGGAGGGTAGAGAGCTAACCGGTCAACTCTTGTCCCTTGTTAGGAAGTACTTGTAACAATTGAATAAGTGAGACGCGACGGGAAGGTGAAATGGATGACGCGAGTCCCTTGTTCTGCACCCTTGTCGCGACCGGTGGGGCCTAATGCTACAAGAATTAGGCTGCCAGCTGTCTTGTTCGTTGTGTATGCGGGGTTTGTTTTCTGTAGAGGGCTTAATTGGATTTCGTCGCAAGCTTCTGTCCGCTGTGGCCGGCAAATTCCCGCCGGCACCGACGCTTTTTGGTGGGTCACAATTTTTGGAGACCCGTCCGTGCCCCGTCCGCGCCCGCAGCAGCACCTTTGCAGTTCAGTTGGTCGCTCTGCCCGGTCCCCGTCTCTGTGCGCGCGCTGCTTCGGGGAATCCGTATCAATCGTCGTCGGCGACCGGCATCCATCCAATTGGACCCTCCTTCCGTCCTCCGTCCACCACCACTCGTCCCCGGTCCGGTCCACCCTCGATACCTCTCATAACAATGAAGCACAACGCTTCCTTGACGCTGCTCAGCGCCTTCCAGGGCCTCAGGATATCCTCGTCGGCCACTCCCTTCCGCGCCGCCTCGCTCGCGACCTCTGCCGTCCGCCGTCCGATTGCGCCGACCCCCGTCTCCGTCGCCTCCCATGTTCGCCTATTCTCCGCGACCGCCGTCCAGGCCGGCTCGTGGCTCGAGCCCAACCTCAACAGAAAGAAGAAGATGATGAAGGGAAGGCCCAGAGTGCCGACCGGTGGTTCGACCAAGGGAACAACAGTGATTTGGGGAGACTACGGCCTGCGCATGCGCGATCACCACCGCAGAATCAGCGCCGCACAACTCAAGCTCGCCGAGGACACCATCAAGCAGAGGTTACGTGGTCAAAAGTACCGCCTGTACAAGCGCGTTGCTTGCAACGTCGGTGTGTACGTGAGCGGTAACGAGGTGAGCAGCTGAACAACCCTACAAGCCGACCGCCAGGGGACACTATGCTCACACATGCGTTCTCGATATAGATGCGTATGGGTAAGGGTAAGGGTTCGTTCGATCACTGGGCGACCAGAGTTGCCGTCAACCAGATTGTCTTTGAGATCAAGGGACACTTGCACGAACAGGTTATCCGCGATGCCTTCCGTCTGGCCGGAGTCAAGCTTCCAGGTAATAATAATGGCGCATGCTGCTCCATATTTACACGAGTTCGAGACGAGTAGAATACTGACAAAGTTGCAGGTCTGTATGAGTTCGTGAAGAAGGGTGACCCACCAGTGGTTGGTATCACCAAGTTGGAGAACGGTCTCACAGTGGAGGACCTCAAGAATCCAAGGAAGAAGCAGCTCTTGACACCAGAGATCACCCAGAGTGCTCCGAACACATCAAGCATTTCTGCTCCTCCTTCGTAGAGAGGTGGACAACCATGAGCCTATTCTAATTGTAACATTATGTAGAACAACAGAAAGGCCAATGTGCAAAAGAGCGTTGCCATGGCCGTTTCATGATTATGATGATGGCGTGGTGGAGATCACCACTTGGAGCAATGCTCTGTTGGCATAGTGAAGTTCTAGACTGATTTTAACTATATACCGGACGGGTGATGGTCTGCCGGCATGGGTTGGGGCACCCAGGGGAATCAACGAGCAATATGGGCTTCTTAGACATGGCCTTTGAACCATAGTAATGAAGTCTTATGACCGTTCATAAATGATGTAGTATCTACTTATAACTCGGATCAAGTAACGATGCTGCCTAGTATAAGTAGTATAAGAATGGATGGTGAAATCGGGTAACTGTCTGCCTGTATAAGCGGACGATGTGGTCCGTGCGGTCTACCCCTGCCGACTGTTAATTGATTTTCTGAACGGCGCGTCACCTCAACGCGTCTTCCATGCATCTCCAATTCAGCGTTTCCTTCCTTCGTCAACCCATCTACCTCTACACAACAACACCACACCAAGATGGCGCTTATCGTCGACAAGCACAGGCCGAGGTCTCTCGATGCCCTCACATATCATCCCGAATTGTCGGAGAGGCTACGGTCACTCGTAAGCAAACCACTTCGTTCCCTCCCGCAAAAGAAGCTCCCCGCTGATGACGTTTCTAGGCGCAAAGCGGTGACTTCCCCCACCTCCTCGTCTACGGTCCATCCGGCGCAGGAAAGAAGACCCGAATTGTTGCTACCCTCAAGGAGTTGTACGGCCCCGGTGTAGAGAAGATCAAGATCGACGCCCGTGTCTTCCAAACCAGCAACAACCGCAAGCTCGAGTTCAACATTGTCGCATCAGTGTACCACCTCGAAATCACTCCGTCCGATGTCGGCAACTATGATCGAGTAGTAGTCCAGGACCTCCTCAAGGAGGTGGCGCAAACACAACAAGTCGACCAGTCAGCAAAGCAGAGGTTCAAGGTGGTGGTCATCAACGAGGCCGACCACCTCACCAGAGACGCCCAGGCTGCCCTCCGTCGCACCATGGAGAAGTACTCGCCCAACCTACGTCTTATCCTCCTCGCCAACTCGACAGCCAACATTATTGCACCCATTCGATCGCGATGCCTGCTCGTGCGGGTAGCGGCTCCGACACATCAAGAGATCTGCGATGTCCTTGCTTCGTCAGCGAAGAAGGAGGGCTGGCCGGTTGTCCAGGGTCTACACCAGAGGATAGCCGAGGAAAGCGGAAGGAATCTTCGCAGAGCACTGTTGATGTACGAGGCGGTACATGCGCAAAAGTGAGTAAACGCCTCGTAGCTCCAGAGCCTGTTATGGCGACTTGAGATTGCTAACATTACCCCCCACCCGCAACAGTGAGAAAGTCACAGACACCACTCCCATACCACCCCCAGACTGGGAAGCCCTCATCGGACAAATTGCCAAGGAGATCATGGAGGAGCACACACCAGCACGAATCCTGCAAGTTCGAGCCAAGCTTTATGACCTCTTGACACACTGTATTCCCGCGACGAGCATCCTAAAGACGCTCACATTCAAGCTCATCCCTCTGATCGACGACGCACTCAAGGCGGATGTGATCTACTGGTCCGCCTTTTACGAACATCGCATCAAGACGGGTACCAAGGTCATCTTCCACTTGGAGGCGTTTGTGGCCAAGTTCATGAGGATATTCGAGATGTATCTGATGAGCATGGACTTGTAAATTCGGCGTCTTTGTTTGTTTCGGGTCTCAAAATGGGCATTTTGGCGTTCCGGGGAAAGGGGGATGGCATTGGCGTCGTGTAACCAGCTAGAATTATTGTAGGGATTTGTTTGGCGAATTATGACGGTTTATACCACACCTACAGGCATGAAGAGTAGACTACATTGTAAGCTCTAGTGCCGAAGTCGTAGAAGAAAGATCATATGTTTGATTCGTGCATGTCTCATGTTATAGGCTAAAAACCGTTGCGTTGCCCGTCTTGGTACCTCGAGGGTACCTCTACGGCTATACCGGTAGGTACAAAGCACAAGAAGTGAAAGAGTTCAAGAGTGAATATGACCACTCGAACTATCCAAAGCTCTGTGTTTCTTCTCGTGAACACCAGCTGATTCTCGCCAAGTGTCTTTCGAAAGGGAGTCGAGATTGGATGTTCGGAAGAGGGAGGCGGAGGAATTCAAGGCTGGATCGACGGTATGGAGATGTTCCAGAGAGAAGTAGTGTAAGGAACAAACATGGTCATCAGGGGCACCCTGCTTTGAGGTATTTGATTGGGTAAAATGGCCGATTTAGCCCCATGCACCATGACCGTTCCCGCGAACAGGGCGTCTGGGCGTGCAGGGAACAGCCACACTCCAAGATCACTCTTGTCCAAATCGCGTTCGTGTCCTTTTGGGGGACGAACACCAGTGAGGCCAGCTCTCCACAGGCTCCAGGAGGCAAGCACACAGGACGCCCAGCCGTTGCCAGCCCACTGAAGCTTCACTGTGAAGGTCGACCTCCAGCTTGGAATCCATCCGAATCCATCTCCATCATCACCCACGACGGCATCGTTTTCCACACCGCAACCCACAACACCGGGCACAACAGCAACGATAGCCACCGGGCAACGGATAACGGGACAACCAAATCTAAACCAGCACTAACACACTAACGGTTCCATCACCACCGGCACTTCCCTCCCGAGCTCACCAGAAGCTACCCGCTGGGCTACACACACGGCGCCGCTGCGGTTGCAGCCTCCATAATCTAGTACACATCATCTGGCACGCCGCCATAGGGGCACATCGACGACAAGCTCGCAACCATGTCGCTCAACATCTTCCGCGTCACCGGTATGCTTCCTTTGGTTGGAGGATTACAATTGGGATCCTAGAGAATGTTGAGGGTGGATTGCTAACTCGGGGTAATGGTATAGCGGACTTTAGCCACTTGGCTTCTATCCTCATCCTTCTCCATAAGATGACGCAGTTGAAGGTATACACAACTCTAGCTTTGAATTTCAAGGCAGGCAATGCTAACCTAGGACTGTCACAGAGTTGCGCCGGCATCTCTTTCAAGTCGCAAGTCATCTACTTCATCGTCTACGTTACCCGCTATCTCGGTATGCCATCCCTTGGGAAGAAGCTCTATCCATTACGGTTCCTCCGCCTAGGTAGACCATTGTGCTAACATGTGTATCTCCCACACAGACCTCTTCTGGACCTCAAGCTACTACAACCTCGTCTTCAAGATTCTCTTCATCGCCTCATCCGGGTACATCATCTACCTTATGGTCAGCGCCTACAAACCCACGAACGATCCCGGGCTCGACACCTTCCGCGTCCAATACCTGCTGGGATTCGCCGCCGTTCTCGCCATCCTCTTGCCCTACCAGTACAACTTCTGGGAGATCATGTGGGCCTTCTCCATCTGGCTCGAGTCCGTCGCCATCCTTCCGCAGCTCTTCATGCTCCAGCGCACCGGCGAGGCCGAGACCATCACCACCCACTACCTGTTCGCCCTCGGCATCTACCGCGCTCTGTACATCCCCAACTGGATCTACCGCTACGTCACCGAGCCGAAGCACAAGATCGACTACATTGCCGTTTCCGCGGGCATCATCCAGACGTTGCTGTACAGCGACTTCTTCTGGGTCTACTATACGACTGTGATGAAGGGTAAGAAGTTCAAGCTGCCTGTTTAAGCTGTGGGAAAGGCGAAATGGTTGGAAAGATCGGCGGAACCGAGCAGACAGAAAGCTATCGATCAGTGTTTTATCTGGATGCCATATGTTCGAGTACCATCGCCGGGTGATCGCTCGGATCGTCCATTTGCACCTGGCACACCATACGGCAACAAATATCAAGCCCCGACCGCAGTCGCGATTTTCAACACACACTTACCGAGGGCGCAAAGCCGTTGTAATGGCAGAGGGAAGAGAATTGGAGGAGGAATGCTACACCCAGTGTGGTGGGCATGCGTCGTTTAACTTTGACAGAAGAGGGATATAACGTGACAATGAAAATTAAAACTGGATTGCATGTTAGGCCGGCGTTTTGTGGGATGGAGGTGGCTTTGTTGATAAGTTGGCGCACAGCTATGGGGATAGCCCTCTTCGCGCGGCAAGACAAGGACACATAGCCACCCATGGGATTGGATTCTGGCTTGGTGCGCTTCTAGAGGGCGATATACTTATGTGGTTTAGAGAAGGTCGAGAACGACTTTAGGGTACCAAAATCTCAAAAGTGGCTTCTTTCTTTCAGGGGCAACAGACCCTGTGCTTGAAACATTAAATGTGGTGTTTTGGTAGGTCAACCAAAAGGTGACACTCCTCGAAAAACCCGTTGCCGGGCTGTTACACGGGTATGGGTGCGAGCCGAGCCGGGGTATTTGTGATGGGAGAACTGCATGAACAAAGACGTTTCGAGTTCTCAAACGACGGTGATGGTACCATCGGAAGCGAGGCCCCCCTGCCGCCTCGGCATTGCACGACGTTGACCGTGGTGCTACTTGTATTCCGAAAGTGTCCTCCGAGACCTTGTCATCGACCGACAAGGGCTTTCTAAAACACGAATCTAGCCTTTCAGAGAGCCCTACCTTTTCCCATCACTGGATGGTTGGACATCATGACGAGATCAAACCAATCCTTATCCCAAAGCATGATAAACGGTTGCTTCCTATTCTGGTACCGACACTGAGCCTGACATATACTAATCTGGTCAGAGTGATACACCAAGACGTGTTTTTTTTGTTTTTTTTTCCTGTCACCCAGGGCATCTCTTCCCGTCGTCGCTCGGAGTCGGGAGTGTAACGAACCCGCTTTCCGTGCTACACTTTAAGGTGGTGACTGACCTTAATGGACCATACCTAACACAGGACAACAACCTTCTGGGGGGGGGGGGGGGGGGGATCCCCCAGTTCACTCCTTATGAGGTTCATCATCCCGTCTGTCTCTTCCTGCTCACACCACCAGCGGTGTCTCTTTCTCTCTTTCTCCCGTTTCTCCCCTTCGGCCTACCTACCTACCTACCTACCTACCTACCCATCACTACCTTAGCTAACCAGGCGGAATAGAGCTGACTCGCTCGTTCGTTGAGTGAAAGAGAGCATGACGATGATGGTGGTGGTTAGGTAGCTCTCCCACAACAAGCCTTTTTTTTCTCTACTTTCTCGCTCACATTCGTACGACTCTTGACCGCAGGCGGTAAGACGTTTTTTTTATTTTTTATCTACGGTAGCCATGGCTGCTGCTGCTGCTAGCCACCACCGCTCGTTTAACATTTTTACCACTACTACCTTTGGTTCCTTTTCCTTCTTTTTTGTATTATTGATATTGTTAATTTCTCCGGCGAGCTGTGCTGCCTTGAAGGATGACAGCAGCAGCAGTTATGGAGCTGTTGGAGATGGAGCTGCGGGAGATGGAGATGGGACACTCTCGAAAGTGAAGAGTTGGATCAAAGCGGAAGGAGGAGCAGTGGAAGAAGTTCCGGAACTGAAGAAGAAGAAGAAGAAGAAGAAGAAGAGCAACAATTACGCTCTCACACAAAAGACCAACCGCGATGACACACCATTACCATTACCGCCGCCGCCATCAACAACAACAACAACAACAACAACAACAACAATAACCATTACCATCACCATCGCCATCGCCACCTCAACAATCACCCAACCACCTTCCCTCCCCCTCCCCCTTCATGTTCTTCAAGGCCGCCAAAACCCCGACCCCGACCCCAACAAAGACAAAGACAAAGATAGCGCAATCGCCGACCTCCAATCCCAAATCGGTTCCCTCTCCTCTCAACTCTCCCTCCTCTCTTCGAGTTCGCAATCCCTCTCCCAAGCCTCCCAGCAAACAAGCCAACAACTCTCTCAATCCCTACAACAGGCCTCGCAGTCCCTCCAGCAAGCTTCCCAGCGCCTAAGCCAGACTGAGCAGTCGCTGGTTAGTGCACGCATAACGCAGCAAGCTGCTGAGCAGGCTTCCCGCTCGGCGACGCAGCGGGTTGACGAGTTGAGTAGGGGTTTGGGGGAGATGAGCAGGAGTATGAGTCTGAGTGCGGTGCAGGAGGTTAGTAGGGTTAGGAGGGAGGCGAGTGTGAGTGTGGAGGAGAGGGTTAGGAGGGTTGTAGAGAGTTTGAGTGCTGGTTCCAAGGGGAAGGGTGGTGGTATTGATGATGGCGATGAAGGGAAGGGAATCAATGTGCCGGTTTTGGTCGGGGCCGTGGTGGGAGGGGTAGTGGGCAGTTTGGTGGTGACGGGGTTGGTGGTTGTTTTGTTTATGAGGAGGAGGGGGAGGAAGGGTGGAAGGAATATGGGGGAGAAGGAAGGTGGTGGTGGTGGGGAGGTGATTTACGTTGGTCCTGACGGCCAGGGCAGCAGTGTTGGTTCTGGATCTCGTGGGCGTGGTCTCGTCGGCGGTTCTCGCGGCAATAGTAGAGGTAGTCATGGGAGGAGCAGAACCGAAACCCGCCGCCGCGAGAACGTGAAAAGCTACCCCGGCGACGGCCCAGTAATATGGGTAGCTTCAACGGACAGAGACAACACCACCCCCTCCACCGCCGGGTCCGGGACCCGCGTGGCATCACCTTCGATATTATCGACGTCAGCTGTTCACAAGTCATCCGACTACGAAGACGAAAGTGTCTACAACGACGGCGAAAATGGCGGGCCGCCACCCAGCTCACGAGGAGGAAGTATCAACACGGAGGGAAACAGGACGGCGCTGTCACCGCCACCGCCGGCGATTCCACCGAGAGCCAAATCTAGGTCTAGGCCTGCTCCTGGGGAAGTTTCTACTGGTCCTCCTGCATTTGTTGCTGAAACCCCGATTCCTCCCGTCCCCGCTCCCGTTCCCACAGCATCAGCTTTACTTTCCCCTTTCCCGCCACGGCCGAAGAGTGTCAGAAGCGGAGTAGGTACCGGTTCGGTTAGACCCAAAGACCGCCAAAGTCAAAGCAGTGATGAAGCCAGGGGGGTGGGTTGCGCTGTGAGTTACTACTCACCACCGCCACCACCGCCACCACCGCCGCCACCGCCAGCCCGATCACCTCCATCCGTACGGGCGGCCTCCGCCGTCCCACCAGCACCAAAGTGGGCGCCGCCCACGATACCAGGGTACGGCGATGATGCGAAGCCTTTGGGTTCCGGCTTTAAGCTGGATAACCCGCCGTCGCCGTTGGGGGCCGGGGCTGCTACGAACAAGAAAAAGCCCCGGAATAATACCAGACTCAGCATCTTCCCCGGCCCCAGCCCAAGTCCGACGCCTAGTACCCAAGGGTGGTCTTCGAGCCCGCTTAGTTTGCCTTCGCCGCGAACTCCGCCGGTTCCTAGTGTGCCTACCGAGCGGATGAATACAGGTGGAGATATGAATGGGGGGAGTCAACATCAACATCGACGGGGAGGAAGTGGAGGGATTGAAGAAGAGAACAAAAAGAGAGGACGACCTGTTCAAAAACGACAAGAAATCAGGGTAAAAGATGGGCAATCACCAAGTCCTGCTGCTCCAGCGTTGGAAGCATGGCTAAAGAGGGGGATGTCATCTACCAGAGTGCCGGTACGGACAGGAACAGGAACAGGACCAGCTGGTCCAACACCAGGGGAAATAATACCTCGCTCGGCATCTGCTTCCAATCTTAGAAGGCAGTCGTACACTGCGAGGTTAGGGGAACAGGTGCAGCAGCAACGCTTTCTGGACGCAAAGGACGATGGAGGAAGAGGGGAGGATTGGCCTATACGACGGCAGTCATAGTGGGGTTGTTGGTAGAGGTAGAAAGAAATAAAGAGGTCATTTTTCGGGAAAAGTACCTCTAGGTAACGATATTTGACACATACCATACTATAGGTTGTTGATCATGTCTGGAAAAATGAGGCAAATGTGTGAAAGTGCATACGAATACTTTTTTCTACGTAGGTATGTGCCCCGGAGAAAAAGCAGAAACCGGCAGCTCAAAACGGGGGAGTAAACATCAGCACGCAACGTAGGTACCTAGGTAGTCAGGGCATGGTGCGATTCTTGGGATACGTGATGCATCTTTACTAGGTACTTCTGATGTATGAAGCTCGGATTGTTTCCGCTGAAACATACGAGTCAAGATAGAAGTCATAAAGAAAGAGTCCCGAAGGTTTCTGAGTGACTACTGTGTAAGATAGGTATCCAGTCGAGGAACCTACCTTAATTATGAGCATAGAGGTAACTGGACCGACGGAGTCTGAAGGGCGTCTGCCAGAACTGCCGATTTCGCCATCTGCGTACCTACTGTCCCCCGCAATGCGCGAAGTCAAGCATTGATTGTGAGGTAATTAAGAAGGAGCATACTGTGAACGTGGAAAGAAGTCATCACGAAGATGTGTCAAAAAGGAGCACAAGACACGAGGGAAGGAGCCCACGGCTGATTGCGAGCCCGGTTGGGCACGACAGCACATGTACATAATCACAGATCCCCCGGCCTGGACTTGGAGTGGGTTGTTTTTCTTCTTCTTCTTCTTCTTCTTCTTCGTCTTCTTTTTCTTTGTCACCTCATCACAAACAGCACTTCTACCTAAATATTTTCGCCCCTCTTCCAATTCTGTGCCTTGAAATTGAAGAGTTGTATACTTCCCCGGGGATGCGAGCATATGCAGTCTGCTTATGTGAGCAGGTCTATAAGAACTAGATCCGAGCGCATGCATTCAACAAATAATATGGTCCGATGGTGTAGTTGGTTATCACGTCAGTCTAACACACTGAAGGTCCCCAGATCGAGCCTGGGTCGGATCATCTTCTTTTGCACTTTTGACTCGCGACTTTTTGCACTTCGTCCTCTTTTTTTAAAAAAAAAATAAAAAATTCCTGTCCTGCCTCCCCTCGTCTTCATTCCCGCTTGGTCAGTCATATTTACATTGGCACGCTCTCCTCTCTTCGGTGCCCATCCTATCAGATTTTGAAATTCTCTACGCTGAACACTCTTTGTTTTTTCGTGATCCCGGCGGTCAAATTCCTCATCAAAAAAGCCACGCTCACTCACCGATGGTCTGCACGGTGAATATCAACGCCCAAAGACAGCTTGGTGTAACGGAGTGTATCTGCAGGGTATCGTGAATCTGAAAGTGACCCAACATCCTGAATGGCTGGCGACAGTGACATCATAGCAGCCATCATGAATGGTATCACCGTCCCCACCAATCACGGTCAGCTTTTCCAGTGGAACGACAGCAACACCCCTCCAGTAAGGCTGATGCAGTACACACGCATAGGTCAGCACATTTCAAGATTCGAAGACAGGAAATGATATCTTTTTTTGGGGATATTTTGACCAAGTGGATTGGTTGGGCTCTGTTTGGGTACGGTGAAGAGAAGGCTGTTGGGGCTGGGCATGAAGCTGGCTGGATGTGGTGAATATGGAGCTGAGAGCAAAGCTGGGCAACACCTGTGATTCCGGCACTTCATCCCCCCTTTGGACAGGATGTGAGCCTCGCCAAATAAAGTATGTATGCTGTTTTCACCACTGACCTTTGTTGCATATATCTTTCGTTTTTCTTGTTCTCTTTCTCTTCATCTTCACCTTCACGATCTCGTCGTCTTTCTCAAATATTTTGATACAATATCAACTTTTCACGAAGCTTCTTCAGTTTGCATTTTGAAGGTCTCGTGCCGTTTGAAGCCGGCAAACTCCCGAAAGAGCCGGCGTCTGGGCTCCGTCCAAGTTCCCTGATTTTTAGACTCTTTCTTAGGGGTTCACTCGGCTTGTGGGGGCCCGTCAGGCCGCTGTCACTTACACCACGGCACTAAACATCAAGCTTGGCATCACCGTCGTCACCGGACCCGGAGTTCGTATTCCGTACATATACTGGCGGTCCCCTTCTTCGTCAACTCACCTCCTTGGCTACAAGCTCAAGCTCAACTCAACTCAACTCAACTCAACTCAACTCAACCTACCCACTTGCCACAATCGGCAACGACGGTAATATCAACCGAGGTCACACCACCACCACTTCTTTCTCGCCTTTTCTTGCCTTACGCAAGTCTGCGCCTACATTTGCTTCGGTAGTCGAAAAAGGCTTATCACATTACACAAACGCGAGGCAAAGAAAAGTAAACCGCAGAAGTACGCTAGAAGCTCGACACGAACGTCCCTTGTGTGTATCCTCACAGCAGCGCCCGGGGATTTAATCTATTCAACACCACCTCGGCACCATCAAGGCGACGGACGGCACAAGGCAAAGACCTCGACAGAAAGAGGACAAAGGAGTTTTTTTTTGTTTTTTTTTAATCTTTGATTCGGCATCACACGTCCTGGGTTGGGACTTCGCATCGCAGCGCAGGTCAATGAAGAGGTTGACTGGAAAGGAGGAAGACAAATTGGCCCACATCTGAAGGCGGCTGAGTTCTATGCCGGCAACTCCGTCTCGCTCTCTTGGCCTCAAATTGCTCCGCCCCCAGAAACAAAATCGACGATAATTCTCGCTGGCAAAAGAGGTTATACGAACTGAAAAGCTCAAATCTGGAAGGCAAAGACTGAGAAGGCATTTATACCAGTCCAGTGGTTAAGTGAGATCAGGTTTTCGTTGATAAGCCCCCGGCATCAACACGCAACTCAACTTCCGAGAACTTCATACGGCACAACACACACATCAAACCCACCTCAACATGGTCCGCTTCCTAGACGAAGACGAGCAGCGCGAGCGGGACTACTCCCACCGCGGCCGCCGTCCCTCTCCCTCTCCAACCCGCTCCCACCACTCCGGTCATCGAGACAGAGATTACTCACCCGACTTCATCTCCGGCCCCGGCCGGGTTCCCCGTCCGTACGCCAGCGGCGCCATCCCATCAACAGCAACAGGAGCACCATCACCAGTGCCACCACCACCTGTTCCCTCCCCACCACTTTCTCCCCCTATCCCTACCCGTAGTACAGTAGGAGGTGGCTATATCTACGACGACGAATTCCGAGGTCGAGGCCCCCAGACCGGCGCTCCTCTCCGAGGAGGGAGAGAGCCCTCCTGGGAACGCAGCTCCGGCACCGCAGCCCAAGCATCACGAGCGCGGAGCATCAGTGAAAGCAGAAGCCGATCACGCGGTCCACCAGCACCAGGACCAGCGCCGGGAACCCGCGAGCGACACATCGTCCGCGAAACCAAGATGTACGGTGGCCCAGAACTTGCGCGTGACACCCCTGAGCGAGCCCTCGCCGTCTCCGATTCCCGCCGGGCGCGCTCTCCAAGTCGAGACACTTCGCGCTCTAGGTCTCGTTCCCGTGGTGCTCGCAGCATCTACACCACAGATGACGACTCCGATTATCCCCATCGTCGACGCTCCCCTTCCCCTTCCCGCTCCCGCTCCATAGCTACTCGCTCCAAACGTTCACCTTCCCCATCCTCCCGCTCCCGCTCCACGCGCTCTCGCAGCCGACGTTCCCCTTCGCCCGCACCCCTCCGCAACAAAGCAAAAGCAAAAGACCTCTTCTCACCCTCCACCTCCACCGCCGCCCTAGGCGTCAGCGTGCTAGGCGCCATCGTAGGCGGCCTAGCAGCGCGGGAAGCAACTGAGCACGCGCGCAAGTCTCATCACAACAGCAAACACTACGACGGCAGCAGCTCGTACGACGGGCACAGATCGCGAAGTCGAAAGGAGGAAGAAAGGGAACGGAAAGCGGCGCTGATATCGACCATTGTCGGTGCGGCGGTGGGCGGGCTGGGGGCGAATGTTATTGAGAAGAAGATTGAAGAAAAAAAGAGGATGGAGAAAGAAGAAAAAAGGGCGAGGGAGAGGGGCGGGTATAGGGAGTTGAGGGATAGGGATTTTAGTAGAGAGAGGGATAGGAGTACTACTAGGGATGGAAGTAGGGATGGAAATAGAAGTAGAAGTCGACATGGTGGTGGGACTGGAAGAAGCATAGATACGCCGGCGTATTCGGATGATGATAATGATGAAGATGATGGAGATCGGGGGTATTATGGGACGAGTAGTACAAGTACGAGGAGGGGAGGGCGTTGAGAAGAAATGGTTTCTGGGAGTGATATGGTTGCATCTAGGTCTAGTACATTCGGTAATAGAGGATTTCCAGCACTAGACTAGCTGGCCACTGGCAACATGTCTGTCCATTTCATTGATGCTCAAGTAGGAACCCAAGAAAAGTTTATCTACCAAAAGAAGAAGAGTTCATTTCGAGACAAATCCTACGTTGAAAACAGGCCTGGATCTCTCTTTTCTTTCCTTCCCTTCCCTTTCCTTTCTTTGTCAATCTCCCCGAAGTACCTACTAAGCTTTTGTCTCTCCGACCAGCCCAGCCATCACACCCATATATGTTTATGTTGCGTCTGTTTTTCTTCCTTCACCCCTCATTCCCATTCAGTCTATAATACCTAGTGTGAGAAAAACAAACCATTTCACACAGGTAACCCCTCGTCCGTAGCCTCGTCCCTCTCCAACTTCTCCAGCCCCGTGCCAACAGCGCCGTAAATCCTCAACGGCACCGCAACCTCGAAGCTCTCGCAGATGAGATTCTCCGCGGCAACCAGGACCAAACCGCCTCTATCATCCCTCGATATTTCCTCCAGCAAGGGATGCGGTTGTTGCTGCTGTTGCTGTTGCTGCAGCATAGTATTCCTCTCCCTTTCGCGTTCGCGTTCAGACAGTGTCTGGTTCTTCCGCAACATAGGCGGTCTGCTTCTGCTCTTACTCTTCTGCTCTTTCCCCCTTCTTTCGGCGGTAGCGTTACCATTTGTTTTGACTAGCCTCGTTTCCCTTTCTTCTTCTTCTTCTTCTTCTTCTCCTTCATTGTCGTCTTTCCCTTCTTCTGATTCCTCTTCTTCATCCACCTCTTCGATAACACCGTTCCTGTCCGCCTCCTCATCACTAACAATCTCGTACTCTTCCTCACCATTGTTAGTTATCCCCAACCCCATGCCCATCCCTTGCCCCTGCCCCCGCCCCTGCCCCTGCGAAGCCTGTCCCAGCACCTGGGATTGTCCCATCCGCTCTAATGCCTCCGCGCTGGGTACCACAAACTCTACTCTGACCTTCCACTCCAGACTAACTCCGCTCGTCATGAACTCTGGCGTTGCCGTGACGGGAATCGTTGGTGTAAAGACTATCCTCTTGGCAAACATGGTCGCCTCGCTGCTGCTCACCAGCACCTTTCTCGTCACGCGGTGCACGCTTGCCTCGCTGCGCAGCGCCAGGCTGGAATCTACCCGCTCGGCTGTTTCCAAAGCAACGTGCACAGCGTAGCAGGGGATCTCGGCGCCTTCAAAGTCAATGGCCATGGTGAGTTGCTCGCCTAATCGGTAGGCGGGGCGGGCAAGCATGACGACGGCGACGCGGCGGCCGTTACGGGCGATTTCGAAGCGGTTGGTGGATTGGTTGGAGTCGTGGGAGGCGAAGTTGGAGCGGAGGATGGCGAGGTCGATGGCTTCCTTTGCGGTAAGTATGGGCATATGGGTTTGTGGGCCGAAGGGATTGAAGTGTGAGGAGGTGGTGGAGTTGAGAGAGTAGTTGGAGGGTCGCCGGGAGGGAGGGGCGCTGGCTGTTGGGCTGAGAAGACCAGGAGCGCGAGCACCGTTCTGGAGTTGAAGAGAGCGCGAGGAGAGAAGCTCGTCAACGTAGGAGAGGAAAGAATCTTCATTGGAAGCAGGCTTATCTCCCAATAGTTTCTGTCGTGTCTGCTGTGGTTGTTGCTGGTGATTATGATTATTTAAGGTAGTGGTAGATGCTGTGTTCGTATTATCGACGGTCTGAACCCGCGCCTGGTCTCGCAGGATGATATAGGGCGCCATCAGGTCGTGACCTAGAATCTCGCCGTGGTTGTTGACGCTTCCAAGCACGCGGAACGGAACGTCCACGGACTTGACATGCTTGTCTTTTGCGCCTCCTGGCCTTTGCGTGCCAATGACGAGGCTATATGATATCTTCATCGCTTTGCCGCGATGCGTTGGTGGTAGCCCCTTTGGTAGCCTGAACGAATATTCGAACGTCTTGCTCTCCCCGGGTGCTAGCTGCAGGTCGACAAAGAGAATCGACTGGGGTGTTGATAATAGGGGGATCGATTTGGAGCTGGCAATCCCGCGCATCTCTTTGATGGTGCTGAGTTCTCCTCCGCCTAGAAGCTCGCCAATGGAACTCGTGATACTGCCCCAACCGAAGCCCCTGAGTAATCCGCTGTCGCGCTTCGTAGTTTCCACACCAATCACGCCGCCACCATGGCCACCCACCACAGCTTTCCGCTTTACTTGCTCAAATGGTCCGAGATTCACCAAAGAGCCATCGAGGGTAAATGACCCCTGGATTTGCGCATAACCCATCATCAACGATTCCGGCATCTTTGCCGTATTCGGCGAGAAGCTGGACGGCCGCCTGCTATGACCGGACCGCCCACCAACCATTCTCAGCGGTTGTGGTTGGACATACTCTGATGCTAGTGTCTCGGAAGAGTGGTTGCTCATTGAGTAAAACTCGCCACTACTCCTAGGTGTCCCGCCAATGCTTGTTGTTGAAAGAACACGTGCCGATGGTATCGCACCATGTTCGTTGATAGTGGGGATCTGGTCTCTTGACCGCATGGGTAGAGACCTGACAGATTCGCCAGCGAGTGAGTATGTCGGGCTCATAATGTTGTCTTCATGTACCGGCCCCGCCGAACTGCCTCCGTGGACGACATCGGGCGAAGAGGATGACTTGGTAAAGGGAAACCTGAACTCGGAGTTCTGATCTGCTCTGGGAGAAGCCTTGGGGGAAGGGGACGTTGCCCATGGGAAGATGCTTCGTGTTCGTTCGGAAGGAGTCAGAGGGCCTTCGGTCGGGCTGTGTAGAGCGTTCCGGTTGGGAGGATAGGAGGCATGAAAAAGGGGGGATGGCTGTTGTTGAGAGGTCTGTACTTTTGGATGTGTAGCTGTATGGGGACGAGGCGAGTGGTCAGGCGTCTGTTCCATGGTGTTGGCCTCACGCAAAAAAGATGCGGGCTTACCAGACTTGGGCCCGCCGAAGAAAGGAACACGGGGGATTATCTGTAAGCTTGAAGCTCGGGCATGACCCCTCGCTGGTCGCTGGGCCTTGACGGGAGACGAATTGAGCTCCGGAACCTCGTCCATGCCCTTGGTAGAGCCCAGTGACACGATGGACACCGACCTCTTATGTCCGTGGCCATTGCTGCGTGCGGCGGAGGAGCTCGAGGGAGGACCACCCCGGGAGCTGCTGGACCCGGGATTCTGGATGGGCGACCAGGGTATGGAGCTGTCTCGGGCGCGGGAAGTGGCAGCAGCGGATGGAGCTGTCAAGGAAAGGGTTGACCGATGACCGTGACCGCGTCCACGCACCGAGGGCGGCGGCGCCAGGCCGTCAGCAGCATGGCCCTTGACACGACCATTCCCTCCTTGTGTAGCAGCTGACTGAACGGGGTGACCGGGCCCAAGGGGGGATGGCTGGCGCAATCGTTGCTCGGCAGCGGCGCCTAGATGTCTCGGAGAGGGATGGGGGTTCTTGGTGGGCGTAGTGGGCGGGGGCCCGGGAGGTCGTGCGACGTTCTTGAAGGTGATTGTACACTTGACTTCCTCTCCGGCAAAGACGACGTGGTCCTGCCAGCGGACAAAGACGCGGATGTTGCTGTTGGCGGCGGGGTCTGGAGGCGACATTTTGGCTCTTGTGCGTTTGTTCGTCTCTGTATAGTCGTTCCGTCTCCTCTTTCTTATACACTGCCTGAATCAAGCTGTGTCTGCCTCTGTTGATGGATCGCCGTCCAGGTCGCTAATCCTCTGCTTCTCTCTTCATTGCTGACGAGCAGCAGCATTTTCGGGGTGCACTGTGCGCGAGAGGGTGGCAGGCGTCGGCGGGGGGGCGGGGGGTGTCCGAGTCGCGGGTCGTGGGAACGGAAGCTGTCGAGATATATGGAGATGTGGAGGTTCAGATGTCAAGAGAGAGATGGAAGGATGGGAAACCGAATGCGGTGCGGTCGGATGCCCGTGAGGAGAAAGTGGAAGCTGGAACAACACTGAACAATGGAACCTCAATGGAGCACTACCAGCTTCCACTTGAGCCTGAAGCGGTAGGTCGTATGAATGGAGCCGCCCGGGTGCTGAGAGTTGCGATAGGTTGCCGTCAATCCGCCCGCACCGCTGGAGTCCTTCTTGGCTTCGGAGCATCGATGGTGCCAAGACATGCACATGACACTGTCCGATAGCCATCATAGCGTCAACAGCCCCGAACCACAGCAGTTGAGGAGAACAGGGCCCAAGCTGCTTCTCCTGAACATCCCAAAAGGGGTCAACACTAACAACATGTCAAACACCAAACATCACATCACATTTACACAGCAAATCGGAATCTTCAAGATGCCTTGCAATTGCTTTGGCATTCATATCAATCGATGAGCTCCATACTGAGGGAATCTCATCAGGCTATCAGCTGAAGGGTACCTCTAGGTATACGTCCAGACGCCACGTTACAATCCGATGGGGTATCTTGATCCGCAACTCCAGAAATACCAGCATAAACCCTAACCCCAGCAGAGTGCAATAACCTTCCTCCATCGAGCAAGTGAAACCGCCCTGAAGATCAACCAGCCGAGACCAAGGCGAAAAGGAAAAAGAGAAAACAAGCAAAGAAAAGAACAACACAAGGAAAAGGAAACGAAGGGAAACAGACCACAAGCAAAAGAAATCCATCCTCGTCGCATCACATCTCCTTCCCCTTACTTTACTTACCCTTCCAACCCCCTTCATCATGGCCTCCCACTAGGTCCTCTACCTCTCAATCCACTCCCTCCTGCACCTCTCCTCGTCCATTTCCGCCCTAACACTTGCTCGCACTTGCTCAAACAGCCCATAGGTATCCTCCACACCCATCTGAGCGAAATTGTCCAGAATTTCTCCGATCTCCGTCATCTTCTGGTCCTTCTGCTTTAGCTTGGCCTGCGTGTCATCCGCCCTCATGACGGCCACCCACGCCGCGTCGGATTTGTACTTGAGTTGCACGATTTGGTCATTGAAGTACTGGCGGAGTTGAGCAGGGCGGTCGAGGTTGGATTCTTTGCGGATTTTCTTGGTCGGGATAGAGGTTGTGGCATGGGCAGATGAAGGAGAAATGAAGTGCTGAGAGTAAGAGCGGCCACGGCTAGTAGGAAAAGGCTGAGAGGTGATGCGGTCAATGATTGCGTTGGCCTGGTCGTTGGTGGTGATCGAAGGGTTGAAGAGTCCCCCGAAAGCTAACGGCTCTTTGGCGAGTTCGGCATGAAGACGGGCACTGAGGGCTTGGAAGATCTCGCTCTCGATCAGTTCTTTGACGAACGGGCGGCTGCCATGCGGAGAAGGACAAGACGGCTGGTTAGTTTGCGTTAACTTTCACGAAGTCGTGATGGGAAAGAAAGGGTGTTTGCCACGACGGAAACTTACATTCTCTCCAGCTCATTGACCTCGCGCTCGAGGGCAGCATTCTCAACCTTTGTCTTGGCCTCTCGCTTCTGAAGGTCGGCAATATAGTTGTTGTGGGTCTCAAGGACTTCACGAGCTTCGTGGCCCTTGATGCCGCCGATCAAAGTGCCGGGGGGAGCATTGGTGATTGCATCTTCGGCCTCGTCCTGTTTCGATGAGGTTGCAAGTTAGCGATCGAAGCGATACTAATTAACAACCACAGCAGAAAGAATAGGAAACACTCACATAGGTATAGGTCTCGACATGACCGTAAGGCAGCTCGGAAGGACCAGCCTGATGGTCAGAGAGCTTTGGCGGCGGACCAGCTTTAAGCTCCGTCATCTCGAGGCTACTACCGCTGCTGCCACTGCTCAAACTCTCCTTGGGGAAGATGACCTCTTTTCCCTTACTCTTCCAATCGCTCTTGTGCTGATTATAAGCGCCGGCCACGGAAGTAGAAAGAGCTGCCTCGTCGACCATCTTTCCTTTTCCCTTCCGATCGATCTTTTGCTGACCACCAATTGGGTTCGCAGTCGCAGAAGAAGAAGCTTTGCCCTCGGATGACGACGACTTCAAATCCCTAGCATGGAACAAAACCTGCTCCTGCTGCCCAGCAAACTTCTGCTCAAAGCCCGGAGGCACGGAAACTCTCTCCCCGACGATCTGGTGCTCTGGAAGATAGCGAGTGGCCCTACGAAGAGGTGGAATGTTGCGCTCGTCGATCTGGATGCGCGGGGGGAGATCGCCGACGTAGATGTTGAAAGACTGAGTCTCACCAGGGAACTTGTAAGGCTGACTCTCTCCAGGGAACGTGTACGTGGAATAGTCGTGGATGTTGGGAACCGGGCGCGTGCCGTCTTCCAGAAGAACGGTCGACGGGCCGGGAACAGCCGCACCCGCAGCCGCACCCGCAGTGGCAGTGGGAGTCTGGGTCGAAGCGGAGGCTCCGATACCGCTGTCGTCATCGTCTTGGTCACTCTCAGGCTGTCCATAGCGACGATAGACCAGATCGCGACCAGCAAGAGGATCCATCCTATCGAAGGTAAAGTTTTCGGTTCTTCCACCGAAATTGGTATGCGGAACGCCAGTAGGCGCCCACTTGACTGAAGGGTTAGACGGGAGAGAGTAATGGGCCGTCATTTCGCTGCCGTCGTACGCGTCGTATTGCGCCTCGAAATTGTGCTGGGAAGGAGGGGTTGGGACGTCAGACATCGACTCGATGGGGGGTGTAGCAGGGCGGGTGCGCCCAAGGTTCTAAATGATGACATTCACTCAACTCAGTTACGTCTCTCTCACCCACACACATACACATGTGAAGGGGCAGGAGAAAAAAAAGAGGAGACTTACAGCCGGAACCTCAACCTTAGGCGGTCCACCAATACGAAAGTGCCTGTTGCGCGTGGCACATCCCTCCGCCAGCTTCAAAAAGATTTTGGGCGAAATAGCGCCGGCATTCGGTCCCTCGTCATCGCTGACATCGCCGGGCTCGAGGAAGGGCGTCTTGACGAAATACTTGGGCGGGGTGGAAGGCGTGCTGCTATTGTTAGAATTACATTTCGCCGAGCCATCAGAAGCATGGGAAGAACCGTTGGAAAAACTGCGCGAGGGTGATGTATGAGGCCGGTAGAAGCCTTGCTCCTCCTCCAATGTGCTGCTGTCTGCGCGCGAGTGCTCCGAGAGCTCGGTGATCGCCGAATGGGGCTGGTAGTAACGGCCGCGCACTTGCAGACCAAACGGGGATTGATAGGGGGAATGCTGGGGGTTGCTGGTAGGAGAAAAAGAAGGGGGAGGTGTTTTCGAAACTTTGCCTTTGTCTTGGCCATCTTTGCCTTTGCCATGAAGGTCTTTGTCGTCGTCTTCGGCCTCGGTCTCGGACTTGCCATCGTCCTCTTCTTGGTCCTCGCCTCGGTCTTGGTTGCCTTGGTACAAAACGTCTTCAAATCTGTGTCTTTCAAAAATAATGGTTGCCACACCATTTTCCCCACTGGTAAGTATGTTTCTCTTTCTCTTTTTCTCAACTTTTGGTCTCACTGACACACACACACTCTCTCTCTCTCTCGCCATTCCCTCTCTCACATGTGTCACCATCCCTTTGGGTTTATAAGATGTACCCCAAGATGATGCCCTCGATGCCCCCATATAAAAGCAGAGCAAAGATGATGACAATGATGGCGGTGTGTAGGTGTAGGGGGTTGCCAACGTACCGGTTGTTCTCTGGGGCCGGCTCATGGAGCGGCAAAAACATCTGGAGGGGCTGGACCCGAGCCTTCCTCCTCCTCCTTCCTCCTCCTCTTCTTCTTCCTCGGCACTCTGGCCCGCAAAAGTCTCTTCGCCAAAAGCAACAGGCTCGCTGCCGCTGCCGCCGCCACGCAACTCCATCTCCCGGATGGCTCTGGTCACTTCGGCCTGCACGCCCGCCATGGTCGTCGGCTCGTACATCATCCTGGCCAAGGGCTCCAGAGCCTCGTCGTCGCGAGGGTAGTGCCCATGGCCAGTGACGCCTCGCATGCTGACGTAGGCCAGCAACTCACTGTCACCGAAGTGACGGGTCGCAGCGGGATGGCTGCCGCGGGGGCTCTCTTCGGCCGAGGCACGGGCACCTTTACCGCGCGTGGAGAGGCCAGGGGTTATCGCTATGGATGGAGTCAGCCAACTGATCAGGCAATGAAGAGAGGAAAATGGGTCAAGCGGTGGATAAGAGGGATGTGATGGACGACGAAAGACAAAAAAAGGAAGACAAAAGAGATGTGATGAGCAAGTCCTATGTTCTTTCAAGTCCTGCACCACTTTATCCAGTCCCGATCCAGCCACTGCGAGAGAGGCCATGCGAACTAAAGCCAGGATACAGAGCTAAAGGGCCAGCGTTGCAAGACATGTCTTCCATAGCCGATCGATTTTCACTTGGAGACAAGTGATGAAAGGCATATGATCGAAGACAAACGACCGAAGCCAAGTGACGAAAGACAGGAGTTGAAAGACAGGGGAGACTTACGACGAACGATGGGAGGGCGAGGGGGCAGGGCCGGCTCCTCAAGGCTCTGGGCGTTGGCTTCATCGAGTTTGTCGATGAAGTAGTGGATGGGGATTTCTCCCTCATCCTCGCCCGGGAATGAGCCGGGCATCGGCTGGTCTGAGTGAGAGATGGATGTGTCAGCTTCTGATGTCATCATGACAACTCGAAGGCAGCAAGACGGGGGATGGGAACTTACTGCGAGTGGTGTCACTCATGGTTGTTCGCTTCTTGAAAGTGGGATATATGGTTAGTGGGAGGCTTTTATGCGAAGCGGCAGAGGATTGATAGGACGATGAAGAGGAGGAGGAGGAGGAGGA